ACAAAAATGCCAAGAACAACATGGGACTCAGGATTAGGTGGACCCTTGGGGATATTTGCCCTCTCAATAAGGCCCCCTTGTAAGAGAGCCAGAAGTAGGGTTCAGAAGGGCCCCCTTTAAGGGGTCTCCCTAGTACTACCTAGGACAACATTGACCAAACCTCTCCTCCCATTCTAAACCGTTGCGACCACATTCCCGGCCCAGAACTGTGATCAGCAATGCCCTTTGTAGTTCTCTTCTTGTAAGGCTTGAGCTCAGGGTGTAAGGAAGTGTCGAGGCCGAAATCCAAAACTCGCACCTCAGCCCTATAAAGCCTACCGTAGAGGCTCGGTTCGGAACCACGGTGCCACGCCGGTGGTACAAAGGCCCTGTCAGTAGGATGATGGTTCTTCGTGGTTTCTTAGTATATTTATACGACAATGTGGCCAAGACCCCAGTCTACTTCTTTGAGGCCCCTACCCGAACCCCCCCAAATCCCTACTATCTAGGGTACCAGAGCCCCTAGGGCCCTATGTAGTAGGCACCTGGGAGGGTTAGGGCTGCATAAAATCTGCCCGTTTGGCCTTTGCTGCTGCATGGAACTTGGCGCCCAAGGCAGCGATGGTCATATGGGTAGCTCTCTAAATTGGGGTCCCTTTTTTAAGTCCCCAATAGAGTACGGCACCTTTATAAAAAGGATCCCCAAAAAATAACCCTAATTTAGAAAACTACCCATATGGTTTAGGACTTTGGGGTTTATGGGTCGGCATGTTAAGGGCTTGCACTTGTAGTACCAGGGTTGCCGAAGACCACCTCTTTTGAGCAGGGTTTAGGGTTTAGGGTTAAGGGCTTGTGCTTGCAGTACCAGGGTTACCGAAGACCACCTTGAACCCTACATCCCTCACCTCTCATCCTTAGCCCGAAAATGCGAGGTTCTAATCTAGACATCGGGCTGCAGTTGGGGACGACACTTCCGGATGCCTCCGAGCGCCTAGGGCTTAGAGTTGAGAGTCTTGGGGCCTAAGGTTTGAGGCTTGAGGCTGCTTCTGAGATCTATTGACTTCGACATTGCTTTTGTGTCTGAGATTTCGGCTTCGGCATCGTGCATCTTTATTTGTCCAGCCAATGAGCACAATGTGTCGCTACAAGCGCACGGCGAAAGACTCGCACTTGAGAATACGGCATGAGTCTTCTGGAGACTTCAAAATACTACATCCTTCTTCTGGAGACTTCAACATGCCTTGTGGTTCGATACTTCCTGCTTCTTCTGGAGCTGTGGAAAAGGTGTCATCCATGCCTTTCGGAGTGTGGCTCTGCCCTTCTTTGCTCAGCTTCTCCAACTTCTTCTCCATGTCTCGCCTCTGGCCGGTGGGTGTAGCAGTATGCTACATCTCATGACCGTCTGGGGCGGTAGGGTAGGCTTTAGCTCCGGTGCCACATGGGTACGGGGTAATTTGGATTGTCTGGATTTCTCCTCCAATGCAAAAATCTATCAAGACGCACCAAAATGTTCTGCAAGGCGGCCTTGCCCTCAACCCGAAAGACCTGCTCCTTGGAGGAACACCCCTGCGGAAAAGGGTGGCGTGGTCCGTTGTGTAGGATTTAGCATTCCAGCAGTCATAACCCGACTTATTACCTACTTATACTCAGTCGACGGACCCTCAGGTACAGGAAAGGCCGATTGGTGCTGGTATTCCCTGAAGTCTGCCTGTAGGTCACGGGGGCGAGAAGTTGCCAACATTATGATGGAAGGCTGGGAGGTGCATTGCGTTCTTGAGTCACGACCTGGAAGCAAACGTGCAGTGTCGGATCGGACTTAGGTACAGAATCAACCAGCACAACAGGCCGTGGCGGTGTTCATGCGGAGGAAAAGCAGCACTCCCGTAGACCCTAAACCTCTCAACCTTGAGCTGTACCACAATATGACCTACAAAAACTGATTGCAAACCCTGAACCCTGAACCTTAAACTCGAAACCTTAGACCCTAAACCTTAAACTCTGAACCTTAAACCCTAAACCCGGAGCCCGGATAGCCTGCGCTTCGCGACATCATCTTCCAGATCCTGTCTTCTACGGTGTAGGGTGTTAGGTGTTCCTTCAAGGTTTCTACAAGGGGTATCATGGTTTTTTGGTCCTTGCGTCTTGCAGCTTATAGGGCTCCTGTGTCTTGGGGGGTCAACCTTGATTTCGGGATTAATGCGCGTGTATTTAATTTAAGGGCTTGCGGTTCTGATGTTCTGGCTTCTTGCGTTTTTTCAGCTTACCCTAAACCCCAAATCCCTAAACCCCAAACCCTAAACCCTTAACCCCAAAACCCTAAGTCTGGAGTTTTGGCTTCGAGGATTCATGTCTCAGGAGGGCCAAGCTTTACAAGCCTTTCATCTGAAGCTCCAGAGAGCCGGAGAGCTGGAGGCGCCAGGTTTCGTGCGCGGGTTCTACGGCTTTTTTTTGCACAAAGGACTCGACCGCTGGGTTATGAGGCTTAAAAACACTAAACCCCCTAAACCCCTAAACCCAAAGTACCCTAAACTAGGAAGACACATCCCGAAGAGAACAAGCAGCTTTTTTGCTGAAGCAAGCTTGTGGCTAGAGATGTCTTCGGGTGAAGCTTCTCGGTTGAGGGCTTCTACGGCTTAGGGTTTAGGCGTTTAGGGGTTTAGGGCTTATACGGCTTAGGGGTTTAGGGTTTAGGGGCTTAGGGGTTTAGGGGTTCAGGGTTTAGGAGTTTACGGGTTCAGGGTTTAGGGCTTGGGAGTTCAGTGTTTTGGGGTTTAGGGGCTTAGGATTTAGGGTTTAGGGGTTCAGGGGTTAGGAGTCCAGGGTTGAGGGTTTTGTCCATTTTAAACCCCGGATTTTTTCCCGCTCACATGGCTAAGGATCTATGCCCACAAGCGAGGATACTTTGAGTACATGACAACTGTGCACTAAGTGGCAAAGATCAGCCCCTCACAACTACCGACATGGATAACCAAGGGTGTGCAGAGGCAAGATCTCTACCAACACCTACCACTCTTGTCACGGACTCTCGCCTAGAACCACAATACCATGAATGAGGAGGTTGAGAGCCTTATGCGACAAGAGGATCTGCAAGACTGTACGATACGATCTCTCAAGCTCATTGACTCAAGACAGGCATGACATCAAAAGGAAGCCACGTATGGGATCGGCAAAATTTCGCTTCAATCATGCATGCAACCAAGGATCAATTAGGCCAGAAAGCAAATTACAAATTACAAATACAGCATTCGCTCACTGCTCATGCGCGTACCGACAGGAGAAGCCGTAGCACTGTCATCAGTTCTGTCCGCCAGTTCCATCCCAAGACTCATGTTATCCGTCTCAGAAGAAATCAGCAGGCAGTTTGCCCACTCACGACATCTCTTGTAAGGACAACTCATATTGAGGGTTTAGGGTTTAAACCACAGCCTTTGATGAGGTCTGTCTTCCAGAGAGATCCGAAAGGAAACCTAGGAGACACTAACTCCACACCTGCTGGACACCGTTATACCCCCCTTTTCCGAGTACATGTGCTCTGCGCTTTGAGAGGCTCCTGTGGTTCGGAGGACACGCCGGCAAGGAAGACATGCCTTGACTGGTTTAAGGTTTAGGGTTTAGAGTTTAGGGCTTACAGTTCGCGGTTTAGGGTGTAGGAGAGGGGGCTCAGAGTTTAAGGCCTCCTGTTCTTCTTGGTCCGTTGCGATTTTGAGGCTTCGGGTTCTTGAGCTCCAGGGTTTAGTGTTCGGGGCTGAGGTCTCTTGCAAGGCTGCTTACATACCCTAAGGCTCGAAATAGTAAGATGTTTTTGGGCACGGGGTAGGATGTTCGAGACTGTGGTTACATCGGATCGAGACCACAATGGACTACAAGCCCTTCCTAAAACCCCTACACTCCACACCCTCCTAAACCCCAAAACCTAAAAGAACCCTAAACCCTTGAACCCTCCATTTTAATGGCTGCCAATCGGCACTGAACCACCAAATCTCCAAGAACAGCTGGTGCTATGTCGTGTCAAGCCAGCACCGCCAAACTCCAAGTAGGGTTTGGAGTCTTAGATTTTAGAACCCTTCAAGTATTTTATAACTAAACCCTACAGCCTTGAAGCGACATTAAGGAGTGATTGACGTAACAACCGCCGAAACAAACATAAGAAGATGCGTCATAATCATAATCATAATCATAATCATGGAATCATAGTCAAAGACACACTCATAGTTGCATTCATAATTCCATCTCTAAGCTCGGGACCTGCTGTATGTTCGTGGTTGGAATAATATTGGATTGGATGAGCTTCGAAATCTAAGGCTTTCAGACAAGGCAGTTCAGGGCCTAGGACAATTGCAAGACTTTCAATTCCAAAAACCATCCAAGGGTTCATGCCTGCTTATGCAACCAGGAAGACTTTCCATTACTGGGGCTGGGGGATCCCCCGGCAAACTTGCCAGTACATGGGGTGTCATACACTAGCGTGGGTCAACATAACCCTCAACAACGCTACGTGCCCTGCCGCCCCGAAAATCCCCCGAAAATCCGAACCGCGGGTAAGAAGGAAACCCTTCATCACAGCTCAGGTTCAATTTCGCCAAATGCTGATCAGGGGGCCCTCGGCACTGCTTTTGTGATTCGGATTTTGAGGCTGACAGTTAGGGTTTGAGGTTTGGGGTACGGAGTGGAAGAATGTGTGCGCATGGGGGCAGGACTGGAAGGAGGCCCCTAGACTGCTAGACAGAAATAATCCAGTGTGCTTGGCAACTTGTCACTTCTTGAACAGAGCGGCTCTCATTTCTGTCCCTCACTCTCTGCGATGACGGTTGAAAAGTTAGAGCTTGAGCGCTGGACACATTTTTCCCGCCCACATCACCTCTTTCTGTGCCTGTCCACCCTAAACGCAAGACCTAAACGGGCCCTTCCACTCACCTGCCTTCACTACAGGCCATCGCCATGCATCAAACTGTCGAATTTATTTGTCAAGGAACTTGTTGGCAAAGCATGCGCCGGAGCTGTGGTCACGGCCTGCTTTTCCGAACGAGCGGGAACCTCAGCCACAGTTCTAACATGACGAGAAAATACGGGCCGGACGCATAAGATGTGGCTTCCCGGTATGCTACCCTAGAACTGTGTAATGTTCAGAAGTCATGGATACGAAAAACAAGCGGTGGCTCTGCAACCAAGCGCAACCTTTTATCCCTAAGCCGAAAACAACGTTGAGCCCTAAATCCCCATGCAACGTCTGGCTTTTGCACGAAGGGCATGATGCAATCAACCGAATCACAAGAGCGCGGCAGCATCGGCTGAGTTGCACGAAATGCATCTGAATGCAAATGCACAGCGTCGGGGAAGAGATCAAACAATCACCGCAATGACAATGACAACCATGAGTCAAAGTAGAGAGAACACTAGATGAAGGATCGAGGGAGCAGCTGCAGCAGTGGTCGCAAACATGTGTGTGCGGTTTTAACTGCTGAGTGCAAGTGCCTTCGCGGCAACGACATGAACCTCGATCGATGTGTGACACGAGCAGCAGCAGTAGCAGCAGCAGCTGTTGTTGCAGCAGCAGCTGCATTAGCAGCAGCAGGAGCAGGAGCCGGAGCCGGAGTCGGAGCAGCAGCAGTAGTAGTAGTAGTAGTCGTCGTCGTAGTAATGTTTCTAGAGAGGAGCAGTGCTTAAGGAGCCGCAAATGCCCTAGTAGCCGTAGCAGGACATAACGATCGGTTCCGTCAAGAACCCTCTTCACCTCCACAGGGCTAAGACCAGAAACATCTACTTCAAACCAAAACACGGTGAACCTCCGCCCGGAAGAGTATACAGTTGCAGTATTACCAACCTGCCTCAGAACATGAACGATGAACAAAACACACAAACTTTCAGGCGTGTATGCATGAGACATGCTTGATCCTAAGGTGCGCAGAAGCAAGGCTGGGGCAACAAGCGAATGTTTTCAATTGCTCGAATCCAGGGCGAAGTCCAGTCCAGGGCGTGCCGAGAACAACCAGAGTTGCTTCAGGTGGCTTGCACACGGTTCTCTTAGACTCCTACCCTGCCAAGGGATGCTAACATAGAACAACCTCCTACGAGTACTACCTTCAAGCCAAACACCCAAAACCCACGAACCCCAACATCCTGTTTGCATAAGCCATACACGAAGCCCCCGAGAGAGGAACTCCAACCTCCAGATCCTACCTTGACCATGAACTGTCTGACCCGCTGTAGGATAACTTTCTTTTTGCTAAGATCCGCAAGCAAGAGAGTGAGGTAACCAAATAGGTACCAAAATCTGGGTTAGGCACGCCGTACACAGACACTGCGACTCTTCACGAAGAAACGTTCCCTGGAGTGGAGTTGTTAGTCATACAGAATTTTGC